AGATGGAGGAGGAAGAAGAAGAGGATGACGTCCTCCTTGCTATCTCACCTGCAGGTAGCTGTCACCGTACTGACTAGGGTCGTCGTCGTGTGCAGGTACCACGTGGAGCCCAGCTATGGCGCCAGGTGAGCTCGCCACTTGCAGGTAAGGCCTCCGCCTCTCTCTACTACCTACGCCACTACTCCTACTCCGTAGCTTAGCGCAGAATAACGCTGCCTCCAACCAGCAGCGTGTCGCTCCAGAAGTGAACTACTCGAACAGTCCCTGCCCAGCCGCTGCCCAGCTATTTGTAGTGCTGGGCCGGCTGGGCCTACCTGATGCTGGCCTCAAAAAACGGCCCAGCTGGTCTGGGTCCCTACCGGACATCCAGACCACGCTGCTGATGCAGCAAGGCACAGAAATGCGCCTGGCCTAAAATCGGCCCGTTACCTGTGCACCTAGCCCAAGGCGTCGCCTTGGGACCTGCAGGACCGAAACGCCGCCTGTACCTACTGGTTTGGCGCCAAAATGCGCCTGTCCTCGTTTCGGGCCTGCCTCCGGTGTACCCAGTCCCAAGGTCCGGCCTTGGGGCTGCAAGTCCGAAACGGCACCTGACAGACAAAGTAAGACAGCACACACACACAGAAAGGTAAGTAAACTAAACCTATCTAACTAGTGTGCTACCTAGGGCCTGAAGGGCCTCCAGGGCGCGTGCTGTATGGTATGCGGCCTGGGGGCCCCTCAGCAACCGTCGGGCCCCTCAAATGGGGCCCGTGTGCAGGCGCAGCATGCAACACACAGGGACTCCTGTGTTGGATGGCTCAGCAATTCGATGTTGGGTTTGGGGCAGTAGAAGGGACAGAGAAGAGCAGGAAAACGAGACACGAAAGCATGAGAATAGATGACATTTCTACGTCCTTGCTGAAACGGGAACAATAAAGAGAAGATTAGCCTGGCCCTTGTGCAAGAATGGCACAAATAAATCAACAAATGCTCCAATTTTAAAAATAAAACTTGTTCTGCCCATGCATGAAAACGCAGAGAGAGAGTGAGAGGTAGAGAGAGAGAGACAGGCCAACAGGAACCGAAACAGAGACAGCCAGAGGCAGCGACAGAGACAGACCGACACACAGACAGCCCCCTCCATCAACACTTTCTCACGCACATGCATGGCATGCATGGGAACACAGAGAGAGAGAGAGAGAGAGAGAGAGAGAGAGAGAGAGAGAGAGAGAGAGAGAGAGAGAGAGGCCAACTGACCAAAACAGAAAACAGTGACGAGACAGAGACGGACAGACACACAGACAGCCTCGTCCATCAACAGTTTCTCACCCACAGCCTTCCACAAAGACAGCATCTTCGATGAACACTTTCGCACCCTCCACCTCTTACAATACGGTTACAGAGCACACAAATTTTGGCACGCAGGCAGGTCCCTACACCTTGTTATCATATTGCCCCCCTTCACAGCTTGGAACTATGTTTCCTCATGGACCACACACACACACACACACACACACACACACACACACACACACACAAACACACACACACACACATGTTCAGGGTACTCAGAACTTTGCACACATCCCGCTACGTCAATCTACTGTCAATTGCGCTTAGGAAAAGGGAAAAGAGGGCATAGCCTTAGTGATATGGCTCCTTTCCATTCCCAGGACCATCGGTCCCTTCCTGTTCTATGGGCAGCAAATCATAGATGCTTGGTTGATTACTCACCCTAAAATCAGCATTCGCAAGAGCTTGTTTTTCCGTGAATCTCTTCCCTTCCCGAGCCACCACCATCGGCCGATGAGACGGCGCAACTGTCACATCCATATCCTTGAAATTTCACCCAGTGGTGATCGAGGAAGCAGAGATGGCAACAAAAATTGTCAAAGAAGACGAGCCAAAGAACAAGGATCAATCAACCGGCTGTTGGTAAAACAAATAAATACCAGACTAGGTCACCTGTCGCAACTTCGCTCACAATCAAAAATGTGATCAGTGATGCATTTGTGGTTGTGATGAGATGAACCGTCACAGCCAGATCCTTGAAATTCCAGAGCCGGCAACAGAAATTGTCCAAGCAGACAAGCAAGAGAGCAAGGATCAATCAACCAGGTGTTGGTAAAACAAAGAAATACCACACTAGATGACTTGTTGCAGCTTCGCTCACAATCGAAAATGTGATCAGCAATGCATTTGCGGTTGTAGGGTCTCACCTGTTTGTTCAAGATGAGCGATGCCTTAACTAAGTTAACTTCCTTTTCAGCACAACTTTCTCTTGGAGCAGAAGAGGCAGGAAGGCAGCTGCAGGAGACGGAGTGAGCCAGGGAGGAGATGAGGAGTGCAGCGGGTGGTGGACGAAAAGTGGCAGAGGGAGCCAGACACCACCCGGTGCCCTCCAAAATGGGATGTAAAGCATCTTCCATTCCTCATTCATGCTCCCCTTGGACCCCAAGTAAGCAGAAACCATCTTGCAACCCCCATCAACACTGTGTTTCCACTCCACTACTTCCCCCTCTTTCTGCATGCACCAAAAGCAAATCCTTCTTCCCCTCTTCCCTAATGTGCTTTACAACCCCAATTGATGCCCCCCCCCCCCCCCCCCCCCCCCCCCACCTCGACTTCCCTTTAACCCCCAAATTTTCCCCCACCCCCCCCCCCCCCCCCCCAACACCAGACGGTAAAGCATCCTACAACCCCAATTGATACCCCCTCACTTCCCCAAAATGTTCAAGTAAAGCATCTGGCAAACTTCATCAAAGCTCCCCTTCCCTCAACGCTCCCCATGCCCCCCACTCCTCCCCCGCAATCACCACTCCGACGTCCTCCTATCATATTCCTTCAATGAGTCCAAAGCACCTTGCAACCCCCATAATACTTCCCCTTGCTCACCCAATGTCCACATGAAGCATCTAGTGAACCCCATCAACACTCTCCCTCCCTCCTAATATTCACCAGCGTCAATGCTCCCCATTCCCCCTACACGCATGTAAAGTTGTAAACCATCTTCTGACCCCTATCAACACTGTTTCTCACCTCCGCTCCCTTCACCCAATGTGCACAGCAGCTTGTGACACCCCATCTGAACTGTATCAACACTCCATTCTACCCCCCCTCCCTCTGTCCTCCCCACTTGTCAGATGTGTGTGTGCAAAGCATCTTGCGTCCCCCATCCTCCCAATTGCCCGCAGGGTGCTTCCTCCTACAGTTCTCTCCCCATCACCACCACCATTAATCACCTTGTGACCACCATCAGCAACCTTTCCCCATCTCTACCTCCACCCACGCCACTGAAAACTAATGGAGAGTGATGTTGCAAAGCACATATGTGACCAATAAATACTCGACTAGGTGTACCATGATCATATCTCAGTCAAGGAACACGTGAAAGCCTGCAACATCACTCTCCACTGACCGTCCAGATGAAGCCAAGATCTCATGGATTCGAGACGGACTGGGCCATCGCATTGTCAATGCCCCATCAGCACTCTCACGGTTCAGACATGAGGGCTTGACTCGTTCCCATTCTTTCAGAGTTTCAAACAATGACAGGAAAGCAAGGGGGGGGAGAGGAAGACGCAAACAGAACAAAAATGCTGAACCGTGGTGATGCCAATGTAAAGAGAGTTTGGGCCAAAATTGAAGATGTATGAACTCGACCCTTCTTCTAGAGGAATGGAGGGATCGGGAGCGTACCCTGCAGAAGAAGATTTGGCTTAAGATGAAATTTGCCAGCTTTTCTGCTCAATGCTTGGACAAAAAGTTTCATTGGCCTGTCAGAGCACCACCATCACGTATACCTCTCGCATTTTCCTTCTTTTTCTTTTCTTTTTTTTTTTGGGGGGGGGGGTCCATTTTTTATTTTTTGCTTCCTCTTTATCGTGTTTTCTTTGTTTTCTACCTTTTTATGTGCTTACAATGCCGTTGCATCTAATTTGGGAAAATCAAGATGGCTGCAAAGACAGCATCATTTTTTTCACTCCTTTTGTTCTGTTTTCATCTGTCACGCACAGTGCCCCACATAATGACTGTGTGGAGGAGGGAGAAGCTCCCTTTGATCCATGGATTTCCTATTGGGGAAACTGCAACGAAGTTGACTTAGCGGATTGAAACAGATGGGAGCGTGTGGGACGGGCTTTTCTTTGGGGTGGGAGTGGGGGGGGGGAGGGAGGGGATGCAAAACATGTAAGAACAAATGAATTTCAGACTGCAGAATACAAAAAACAAAAGAAAAAGCGCTTAGCAGCAGCTAAGGAGCTTCCTCATAGTACTGTTTTTCAGACTGCACTGGGGTTATGTGTGCATTTTTGTGTCGACAGACTCAACACCATCGTACTGGCAGAACTAATCCATTTGTATAGTTGGTAGATATATTGACCAGTTCGAGAGAGAAAACTGTGGCACATACAGACGACCAGATAAACAAATATATATAGTCAAAGAACTACAACGTTAGTTTACACTAAGACTGTCCTCAGTGAGAGTCTGAGAGAGAGAGACAGACAGACAGACAGAGACAGACAAAGACATGCAGAGGTAAAGGCAGGTCACCCTCATTTTTTCCTTTTTTGAAAAATTTTCGTGTCTTTTCTTTTTTCCCTTTTCGTGCCTTTTCTTCCTTTCTTTAAATTCTCTCTCTCTCTCTCTCTCTCTCTCTCTCTCTCTCTCTCTCTCTCTCT